AAGAATAATCTATAATGAGTTGGCAATAGATATTAAGCAAATGAGTTTACGAATATTTATTAAAAATTTTCAATAAGTTTGAAGTGACGCTCGCGGTCGTCACCGATCAAAATTTCTTCTCCTAAGAGGAATCGATCTGAGTCACTGTCTTGGTCGTGACCTTTCGCTGGATGACTAATTTCTCGGTTGATCTTATGCTAAATCACCGCAGATACCGGACTCCCCGGGATAACGAACAATCGCGTTGCGAAGGCGGTTTTCATTGTTCCGTCTAGTCATGCACGATGCCGTCATGTTCGTCAAAGGAGTCGAGAGAGGAACGTAAACCACCTTCAGCCACGTATCATATTCCACGCATCTCTAATTCGTATTGGAACTACGAAATCTTTAAATTTATCCAAGATTATTTTAATCTTCAAGAGCTGCTTCATTCTTTATATATGTATATAAATTCTTTATTTCAGCCTCTTCGGCCCAGAAATTGATTTTGATTTACATTTCCTATTCACTACCCCGTCTTCCACCTCGTTCACTCACCCTTCCACTACCTTTACTTCTTCGCTTCCTACCTCTCTTATAGTCTTTTAGATAACATCAAGTATAAACAGTCTTATGCTTTCTGACATCCTATCAGTCTTTGTCTGTTTACCTTATCTATCTAATTGTTATAAACTATAGTCTTTTAGATAACATCCGATATAATCTAACATCTTGTACTTTCTTACATCCTATCAGTCTTTGCCTGTTTATCTCTAGTTATAAAGCTTCATTCTTTATATAAAATTTAAATGTACGATTGATTAAGCATTGATAGAATATGACACTATTTAAATGTAACAAACAATAAAAATGTTCTAATTCATATTAGAAATATAGTTTGATATTCATTTTCGAGGAGCCTGTAGGACTCCTCAAGAAAATGAGTTAAGATCCACTGTGACAATTTTACAAAAAACAAACTGATGCGTCAGCCAGGAGTGACGTGGAAATTGAAAGCAAAAGCTGAAAGTAAAGGCAATCTTGCTTGGATTGGTCACAGCTTCTACTTGTGCGCGTTACAACGCGGAGTAATTTATTGCCGTGTTTTTCATGGTAAGGAAACGGGGTCGCGTTCGTTCACCGTTTCGAACCGCGTCATCTACCGATGAGTCAAAGGAAAAAAGGGTCCTCGAGGTCTCCCCCGGCGATCCTCGATTCGCCGTGAAAAAATTGCGCGCCGAGAGATCGACTACCGCGTTCTCGTCTGTCCGAAGATATTTACAAAACGCGTAAACAACTCGTTTCATTTTCGTTCCTTGTAGTTTCAACACCATCAAGCCAGTAACGTAAGAAACAATAAAAAAAAAACAGTAGTGCAAAAATAAAATGTCTTAAATCATTCGATTGTGCAGGTATTAAAAGACTGGAGGTTGAAGTATCCGTAATCTGCGAGAACCGAGGGGTTCTGTAAGAACAAGAAGAAAAGGGCAAGTAAATTCCTGGACTGGCCTCGGTTGGCTTATTCTTGAACGGTAGTTAGAAGCCGCGGGGTCACGCGCAGACCTGCACAACGGCGGAAAAAAAGATCGTGCGCGCTGATAGGTATAATAAAGAAATTACCCATTTCCGGAAACCGGTTGGCCTTTTGCCGCTTGCCCATTTTGGTCTACGGAGGAACGACGAGTTTTCACCGATTCTTTTTCCTTTCCTGCTCCTCCGGAAATTCTATTTAACTGTTATCACATTATTCGATTGTAACTCGTACCAATCACGATTGCTTCACATCTTATCGTTTAATTACTGATTAAAAGTTATTCTTAAAAGTACAGGCTTGTCTAATGTCATTCTGCATTCGGACTGGCGCGTGGCACGTTTTCGATCGTGTCCATGCGAACTTCCGCTCGTGTCCATTAGCGTATCTACGGTGCATGCAAACGGTGTTCGCTTTATCTCGCGATAAAAGGAAGGCACGAGTCCCGCATCGTGCTCGACGCGCGACACTTCCTTCCTCTCCTCCTGTGGTACTGTTAACCATAATACAATGCCGTGAGCAATTGTGCTTTAATAAGTTTTAGATCAATGCATATGCATAAGCGTATGCACAGCCGTAATTGAACTGATATCGAATAGACGACTTATACATATATTTAGAAGGGAGCTACGGAGAAAAGAGGATCAGGACAATTTTTTCTCACGTTTCCAGAACGAAGTCATTTACAACTTTCACGCTCGATGAACAATCTTCTGAGAAAAAGTATTTGCTCGAGTCACTCAACTGCATCAGAGTACGTCGCTCATTAGAGAATTTAATTACACCTTTCGTCTATCTGACTGACACTACATTTTTTGTGGTAATTAAAAACGTTGGGCTTTAAGTTCAAGTTTAAACGGAGTTTAAATAAAGGTCTGTGTAAAATGTGAAATAGGTTCAAGGAAACTGAGAACGTGTCGGGGATTCTTTTACAAAGGTTGAGTGTGCACACAGTATTCTGTGTTACTTAACGTGGCTGTGAGTGAGCAAGGATCTCTTTTAACACGTCGAACGCTCACATAAGAAGTCAACGACTTGGGTTACAAGCTACAAAGACGACCACGCGTTACACGATACACACTTTGCGCTCATTAAGAGTGTTAACTTCACCTTATATTCATCAAACGCAAGAGAACGAACATGACTTCGTTGCTCATAATTAAATTCAACAAGAATCTGTTTGCCAGTTGTCTTCTAAATAAGAATTACGAAGTTAAACAAAGAAAGCCAGTTTCTATTCGACGCAGCAGAGAAACTTCATCTTTGATCGAACCTACATGTGAACCTAATTAAACCAGAACTCCCAGCTCTTGCCTTCCGACCTCCGCTGATGTTCAACTCTCCGCTATAGAGCATCAGGAATCATCGTGTTTAAGGATGTATTGGCTATACAGTCAATCCCAAAAGTTTATGTACCTTAGAAAAACGCATTTCCTACAATTAAAAAGAAATCAGATGTCGGAAGAATAATGCTAATAATAAATAGCTACGTGCTAAAAAGTATAGAAGGAAATATCTAATTAAGTATCGACGCTGACGAAAAATATTTTTCTTCAAAATTTCGAAAAATGCTTCAAATAAAAGTTGTTTTCCTTCTAACTTCGATATTTAACGAGTTACGTATGATTATTTGGCATTTTATTGATGTTGACAAAATCTTACCATCCCAGCGTCGAAACGGCGAACTTTTGGCAAAAAATTTCATTTTTCCTTAATTACTCCTAAACCGTTGAATCTACGGGAAAATTGTATAGGACCTTTCTTGTAGAGGACGACGAAATCTATAATTTCCATGTAGATCTCGTCGTCCTCTACAAAAAAGGTCTGATGCAATTTTTCCGTATGTCCAACGGTTTGGGAGTTATTGGCCAAAAAATAAAATTTGGTAGAAATTAAAGGGTACCCCTTGGAAAGATCTCGGAAAAATCGAACATTTCTTTTGTTGTTTATTATTAGCAATGTTCTTCCGACGTCTGATTTCTTTTTAAAAAATGCGTTTCTAAAGTGCATAAACTTTTGGGATTGACTGTATAGCCAATACATCCTTAAGCCCTTGACGATGACTCAACTCGGTTTCGACTTCAGTCCATGCGTTGTATGAAGTTTCATACAGTCGTCGATACAATAAATGACGTAATAATTGACACGATATTTCATTTCTAATAAATGTTTCCTATTGCATGAACATGGCAGGTGTCCTGATACTTACGGCCAGCAGTGTGCATCGAAAAGATCGAATTCGAAAATAGCCGGTAGCTTATTTTCGGCGTGTTACCCTGTCCCATACTCTTTTTCTTCCCGTTTTCTTTTCATCGTCTTCGTTGGCCGTCAACCGCAAGCGTCACGCAGCCGCGGTTAAGTTTATTATTACACGCGGTATTCTCACGTCCCTTGGACGTCATACTCGCGGCATCTCCTTCTCGTCCACTCGTGTCGCGTCCTCGGTGCTCGCTCCTCTGCGGGGCGCGATTAAAGGTCCGTGAGCGTCTTGGAAGCCCTGAACTTCGGGGTCCGATGCCGATTGCCTCAAGGTCGGCCTGAATCAGAACCGGCCAACCGGTTTTTCGGAGAAGATTCGGAGAAGAAACGTAAGATTACGCCTCCGCAGGCTGCGCCCCAAGGATACCCGCGCGTAAAGATTATTCAGAATTTTCACTTTCTTTATCCATCAGTCGCAATAACGTACAACTTGGCACAATGATTCCTAGCCACTTCCGGCTTATGTTAATTTCCCGTAGGAGGACAAGACTAAACTCGATAACTATTGACGGTAAAAAATGTTTCATACTAAACTTGTAGCTTTCCACGGTGCCCACAACTATCGTTTCAAGCAACAGGTAAGCAGTTATTGACTACAATTACTTACATGAGAGGTCGTACATAATTTTCTTCGAATAGGTACTTCATTTGTTTTAAGAGAAAATAACATCTGTTATTAATTTGATTTATTAATGAAAGCAAATTACATTCAAATTCTATTTTTTAGTACTTGTGCTTTCTTTCAAATACTCTTCAATTCTCATCTTGCAGCTAGTATTAAGCATTATCAATGATATTTGTAAGTGTACAATAAAAGTGTAATCATAAATATAATAAAAAACATTGTTAACGTGATAGATTGTTTACTTCACTGCGCAATAGTTTACAATATGCAATTATCGATGATACATCTAGGTGTAAAATAAGTGCAGTCCACATACGTACTGCACAATCGAGCTATAACGTGAGTTAGATAAGAAATATTGTTTCACCTCGTAGTAAACGAGGTCGCGCGAGGACTTGTGTGTCAAACATAAATTTTGTTCAACGATAACACAACACTATGTGATCGCAGTCGACAGGCGATCGCTGAGGCATATTTTTTACGTTTACCGGAAAACGTATACAAGGGTATTCCATCCAATTTACTTCGAGTTCCATTTCCATTGTTCTAATTCTCCCGAGAAACAATAGTAGCATGGGTGTGTTTATTTCAAAGTGCGCTCGCCTTAATTCACGGCCCACAAGAGAAAAAGAAAGACCGGTTTACGAGCCTGGCTTGTTAAGTTTGCATAGAACGACCGAACCGAATTAAATAGCAGAAAGTTGGCCGGAAATGCAGGATTCCTAACGTTTCTCGTTTTTATTTATAATATTTTATAGGCCAATCTTATCGTTGGAAAAAACCGTTTTTTACTATCAATTAGCTAAAGAAAATAATTAAAGAACTCCTTGACCGTATCGTGCGCCACTGACGTTGTCGGCGTTTAATGACACGGTTCGCAGAACTGGTTACGTTCTAGTCGAAAAGGGTAGCAGATATAGATAACGATGAGTGGTTTGAAAAAGTGTAAAACGGTCGGTTACACCGGTTACGCGAGCGATAAAAATCGTTTTAAGGTACCCGGGTTGTGTAATTTTGCTATCGTGCACGGTTACCGAAACCGGGTACGTACGCTCGTCAACCGTGAAATGTTAGCTTGCCCAGAAAGTTCGCAACCGCTTTTAATTCCAGTCAATCCTGTAGAAAAGTCACTGAACCGAATTATACACAAAATTCACATAATTTATTTAGACTAATTTTCAATCAATTCATTAAGAGTCGACATTCTCAACTACGAGTATTTCGTGAATGACTTTTATATAAAATGAATGATATATTTTTTCTATATTAAATCATTTAAGTCTGTCTATTTAGTCACATGATGATATTCGTTATTTGATAAAGATTGACGTCTTCAATTATCTTGTGAAAGAATTTTATAAAAAATATTCTTCGGAAAGGTGGACGCTTTGAACGTGACAATGCGTGCAGAAACTGTCCATCCAGCACTATGGAATCATTATTTTAGCGCATTCCAATACAATTCAGCTGACTCACGATCAGAAGCCATCTGATACTTTTCCTATAAGTCCACAGGAATAGTTTAGAATCCCGTCACGAATGGGTCAGAGACACCTGCATAATTTATTTCCTTTAACCTACCATTATTAACCCTTCCGCCGTTCATAGACACGAAACTCTTATACATTTTTAAGCCTCCAAACTGGTTATTAAATCCTGTATCAATAGTAGACTGTGGATTTATAGAAAAAGTAGAAAACCTGAAGAACGTCAAAAGTAAAATACGTATAATTATTTCTGAGAGAAAAGAAAATTTCAGCCTAGATTTCATTTTTTTTTTAACTTAACTAACAGAAGTTAATTAAAATATGGAATAATAAGAGTACACTATAAATCATCGACACGTCATAGTTAGTTAGGCCACGAGGTCAGCGAAGGATTTCACCTTGCCAGCTGGAAGACGAAGAAGACAATGAAGCCAAGGCTTTATCCTTCTCGGTTACTTGTATACACTTGTCTCGAGGTCAACAATCTTTGTCTAAACGACGACCTATAATCTCTGTAGACCCTTAAACGGAGCTGAAAAAACGTGGTTTCATGGACGGGTTCCACGTTGAAGGAGGATGAACCGACAGCAGAACAATGCGTCGTCTTTTTCTACTGTTCTCACTTCCTAGAAAGATAGTTCTCTGGCACGTTCGTAGAATTCGTTCGAATATCCTCGAGTTCTTTTATGAGTGCGAAATTTCAAACAGAATCAATTTCGTACAGATCCCACACCCATACAGAGTCAGTAACAATTGTTATCAGAAATGATTTTTAATCCTATGATGACTGGTCGATAATAAATTTTTTATCAATTCTCCTTGCATGCACTTTGGATGATAATTCGGACAATAGATAAGGCAACAGAAAAAGCGAAAGTAAATACTTAATCATCGGTTATAAAGCAATTTACGTTCAACAGATAATAACGAAACGAACTACGAAATCATTGAAATATACCATTTTGGGATTGTATTTTATTCTTGTAAGAATTCAAATTCTTTTGTCGATTGTTATGGAAGTGAGTTAAAAAATAAAAATAACTATTTTATGTCACGTCGCATCGATTTACATTATACAAGAAAACGTTTCTCAATACAATGTTTTGATTTATAACACATTGATAATAATAACCGGCACGATTGTGAAACCAGGTTTGACCGAATGATATCTTTATACATAAGAGGAGTTGAACGTGCGTCGATTGCGAATGACGATTCAACGGGAGTCTTAATAAATTCGCTTGACCCTTTTCCACTTGCACATGGTCAATTATAGTTGGCTACAAATCCAGTTCTAAATATATACCGATATTTAAACGCCCTGGCTTCGAAAACGTTGAAGAAGTCACGTTCTGCTCCGATCCATTTCGAGTTTCATTACAAATAATTGTGGTAACAATTCTTAGCGACCAATAACGTACATAAAACTGAAAATTCTATTTCATAATTCATACCGTATAACAAAAAATATTTTGAAATGTACCTTACAACTGGAATTTCGTAATAAATTAATTCTGATCGCGTTACTAGTTTCAAAGTAAGAAGAATTAATGTAAGTATCATCTCGAATAATGCACGTTGCTAGAATACAGAATACTTTCTGTTACTACGGATGTCAATGACATTCATAGCTCGCGATCGCTGCAGGAAAACTTAAACACGTTATAAGTGGTACTTATATACTTTAACTTTTCTTCATTTTAAATTAAATAAGAAGCGATGATTTTATTTTATATAGAATATTGTATTATGTTGTACACGGATAAAGGCCCGCATGCTCTTTGCACCTGCTCGAAATCACATGACAGTCGAAGAGCAATTTACATTAATAATGGACTGCTTATTTTATACTTTTTATTTGAAATAATATAAAAATAAAGAATGCGTGTTTATAAAAGCATGTGCGATGTTAACAGTGAGATGTTTAAAGAATAAAAGGAATCCTGGATTTCGTTTGATACTTAAAAATCCGCCGCGTGGCAACGGGTGATGTTAAAAAACTTACGTTCCAGCTGATCAGGCTGTCACAACACAGGATCGCAGGATGTTCACTGATGAAACTCACATCGCACGGTAGCAAACAGACCCGGACTGAACAAAGATGTCTCCTTTCGAGACCCTGACGATCACCACGCGGTTTCAACGTATTCAAACCGATACCGCGGGACAACTTTTACTTTTGTTTATCGGCGAACGCGATTCGAATGCCACCCGTGACACGCCGCTGGTCTATCCGTCCGGTGCACCTGGATGACACCTGGAAAACTCGTTCCGGCGATGAGAGCCGCTTCCACAGGGTTTCTTTTGTGCCAGCCCGGGAAACGTTATGTGTAGTGTGCACACGGTACGGTGTAACACACGAAACTGCCGGCTTGAAGGAACTCTCTGTGCCGTAGAAAGAAGGTGGCGGAGGAACGGAGCTAGCCGTCCGAAAGAACAACGAAGACGGAGAACCAGTCCGTTCCCTCTGTCTGCTCGTGGTGGTGCGTGGATGCGTGCGTACGCGAGTGTGTTGGTACCTTCTTGCACGGTTCATGCAAGCTGCAAGTGCATGGGAGAATACGTTTTCCTGGGGAAATGAAAGAAAGGAAGAGAATCCTAATTTTAAATAAACCTACTATTTCATTCATTTTAGTCTGTTTCAGATTACGACGTACAGGATGCATCGACAAAAAATTATCTTTCTTTCATTTTATTAAAAGAGTGCCTTGCAATCGCATTAATATAGAAGAATAAGATATCTTATCAGTAAACATTGTATATATAGATTTAAATGACAATTCTTATTTGCTTGTAACTTAAAGAAAGAGGAAGTTCTCTCAATTATAAAACTTTATTAGTCCTCATGAAGTGCGGTCTTGAAAACGAGCAACAAGTGAATCCGCTGATCTCCACTTTTCTTTAATCGATTTAAATTGCCACTTGCGTAATGGACTTCGTTTAAATCACCTGGCAGCTAAGAGTCTGCACAGGATAGTATAATAGAAAGAAGCGTTTCATGGAGTAATCTGGATGAATGGAAAGGCGCGCGCGTTTCCTTTCGTCGCTAATAAAACGTTGCTCCCTAACGACTTGAGCGCTCTTCCTGCATAATCGAGTGCACTCAACTTTGTTACTTCCTCCTTGCGAATTCATTGAACTCGGCAAATTTATCAACAAATTCGAAACTGTGCATTCGAATTGGAACAGATATTGCAAAAAAATGTTACAGGGAAACCGATGTTACAGTTCTTAGCGAGGAGAGAAGGAACAGAGCTCGGGCGTTTGCACAGCCGGCGTCTAATTACTGTTAAACGGGATCAAGTGTTGGCGAGTAAGGTGCGAGGCTGCTACCCCTGCTTGACAATCCTGGTTGCGGTGATCGGCTGGAAAACTGCAGCTTTACAGAGAGGAAGCCAGAATGTGCGGTCACCATAATTTACTTATAGCCTTTCGTGTGATTCCGCACCCTCGTACGCGAGAGACCACGCGCCGTTATCCTTTGCCGCTGCCAAAACATTGTACAGTATTACATTTATTTATTTTTTTATAAATGTAAAAATACATAGACATATAGATAATAAAATATGTACGTACACTGTAGATTTTATAATAAAAATTCTGCGAAATCAAAAAATATCATTCAGCTTGACATTTCTTTTACTATTCGCAAATGATGTCTATTTTATTTTTAATCTCCTGTTTCTACATATTATATGTTCATTATTTATGTTTTGTGCATAGGGTGTTAGTAGGTCTATCGATTGACACGAGTAATCGAATTCTCGTTGCGTCATAACTAAATTTTCAAGCAATTATTACTTATTTATGAAACGTGTACTCGATAAACTGGTATTAAGGTTGCACGCGTGCAGGCATCGTCTGCGTTCGGCTTAATGTCAGCCAACCAAGTTGGCACGAAATACGATAAATGCCACTTTCGCCTTGGAACAACCTATCCTCTCGGGTATCCCTACTTTGCAATGATAATTCGCGCGACCGAATAATAAATCCTTGCGATCTCCTACTCTCAATTCTGCCAACCAGATTCTTCCAGCATCGCATGTAATTATCTTGATTTAAAATAGGATTAAATTTACAAGATCGTGATTAATCAAGTTTTACATAAAACGAGAAAAATGTATGAAGAGTATAATTAGTTAAAAACGAGAGATCGATGATCTTGTAATACTTTAATCCTGATTCTTTTAAATGCATTCTGTTAACTTAGAGGAAAAATTTTTCGGCAGAAGATACAAGATAACGTGTTGTCACGTGATAAATCAAATTGTAAGGAAAACTTGTTTAAAGAAAAATCGATTGAAAAGTGGGAAACGAACGCAAACCTGTTGATAGCTTATATTAACCCAGCAACCCGTATTCCTGCTTTCTTGAATCAGTTAGCGACTCTGGCAAGGCAAAAATCAGCTTCCGAGATAAATCAGCTTTCCATCATTAATCTCGTGACAAGCTCCGGCATGAGGAATCCCGTAATGAGAAGAAATAACTCAATAGATATCCGCGTTTCTCTGAAGCCGCCTGTGTACACGCGTATGCAGGATCTACCGGCTGTATATTTCGGGAAAGAATTTGAACCAGACCTTGTAGCCTCTTCGAAATTCGAAAGTATTACACCCCACCGGATGACTCATACTCGTTTACGTACTGGCCCGAGGGTACGAATGTAAAGAACAAGCCGATTATCGTTCCACGTGGGTTCCATCTGGTCTTACGGTAAGTACCGCTACGACGCTTCGGCGAAGCGCGACTGATCGACGCAGTTATTAACAAAATCGAATTTTTATGCGAAATGATTGAACACTTTTTGCTGCGTATCCAAGTTAGACGTACTCCGATCATTGATCGTAAAACCAAATTACTCCCGCGTTTTCTTTATTTATTATTGTGCATTTTGTGACCAGAACACAATTTCGTAACGTGAGAACGTCAGGATAGAACCTCGAAGAGAACAGACTACGTTTTAACGTTAAAAAAACTCGCGAGCCAAGGATGAAGCCGAGGCAAAAATACCGACGGCGAAACGACGAGGGTTGCGTGAAATTTTTCCTCGAGCAGCCCGCGACGGAAGACGTGGCGCGATAATGTTTAAAGCGTGACCCCGACGCGATGCAGCTCCCGCAAGCGTATTTATAGTTGCTCATTTCCACGCAGAGATCCTCCCGTAATTCTCCAGCCAAACGATTGCCCTTCTGTTCCTTGCCTGTGTTCGTACTTTCGTAATTAAAGAAAAACTCGAGCATTTCTCCTAAGGATTTGCTGGGTATATAAAAGATTAAAGAATGTTCATACTATATGAAAATTAAATTGAATATTATGACTATTGAAAGACTGATAAGAATTATTCTAGGTTTCATTTTTTAAGCTGATGAGTCAGTCTAATTTTTATATTAAATAAAAATGGTTGTTTAAAGATGAACAGTGGGTCATTTCGGCATCGTTAAGGTAGCTAAATCAGTGGAACGTACTTCGCTTCATATTTCATGGCCCTTTCGTATCTGCCAAGGCCTCCGGTAAATATGAATCTTTCAGTGATCGAATTTACCTAAATAATTGAGCGTTCTATGTCGTTTTGAGTTCGAGCGGTCTGTCAACGTTCGACGTGCGGTTTATTTCCATACATGCGACGTCGAGGTTCATATCGGTAGTTGAATTGCCTCTGCACCCATTGTGATCATCGCGACGAAACGGTGTGTCAAGTTCACTGTGACGTAACGCGGACGAACCCACGTGGGCGATAACCGTAAAGGACGGTGGATGCAGATAGATTAGAACATTCGGGTTTCGATCGACTCCCGTGGAACGCGACTGTAGGAAAAACCACCGCCGAGCGAAACCACCCCTTGTCAAGTGTCAGTAGCGAGCCGTCTGTCCATGCTATTGCACGAGTTTCCGTTTATCCGTGTTGATGGTACGCGTTCGTTCAAAGTGAAAGAGAAATAATTTAAAGAAACGTCGAGGTGGATTTCGGCCGACGGGATAACTTTGTACGATCCGTGCAATTTTCGAATGTAAGTCAGCTTAGAAAGTAGATCAACAAGCTTTATCATAATTCGATCTAATCGGTTTTGGATTTCAAAAATTTCTACTTTCGTTTGTCCAACTATGATGCGACTCATATTAGAATTAGGCTGATTAAAAATAAAATGTAATTTGTTTTTAGTCAAAATGTGTCAAGTTTTATTATAATAAATGTTATAATTAACAATTAGCTGGAAATAGTTTGTTTATTAATTGAGCGAACTTGTTTTGTTGACTTTCACTTAAATCGCGATACCTTTGTACTAATTAAAATGAAAGGTGCAAAACGAAAAATGGTAAGACAAGGTTGACCGAATTTTTTCTAGCTTGAAATTGATTACACTTTCGTTGTAGCTTCGTTTCGATGCACTTATCTCGGTTTCATCTGGCAACAAAAATAGTACTGTATCGCATTCTGCCAGTTAACGATGACAAACCGTTGATTTTCTACTTGCAATCGCAATTAGCAGCGAAAGTTTCGCTCGGATTGCGGCAACACGTGTAATTATCATCGTGTAGGTAAACGAACGTGTGCAGATAATTAACCGGTTCGTTGTTGTATTTCGTCGACGGCGTCCGTCGAAAGGCTTTCGCTATTGTGAATACCGGGAAATGAAGCATTTCACTTCGTGATCCAGTCGTAGATCGGATCCGATTGTTCGACGATGATGACCCGTGGGAACGAGACCGATCGCACGTCTCCCAATTTCTCTTTCATCAAATCAATTTCATCGATTACTGTACTATTGCGTTGAAAATCATTCAAAAAACCAGATCATGAGTTTTATGCATTTATAAAAAAGAACTGCATATATAAACATTGCGTATGATTTATAAAAATGTGTAGAATGTTAAAAAACAAACAATAAATTGCGCGTTGCAATACTTGACTGATAACAGAAAATCGTAAATGGATTTGTTTAATCGTTCGCATAAAATACTGCGGTCTATCGTTTATGAGAATATGTGAAGCAACGAATGGTACGATCGATTGTTAAAGGTTGACGAATGGTGCTTATGAAAAATTCGTCGCCTTCCCGAGGCGAGAGAGAAAATGCGAAGAAGGATAAGGGGAAGGGTCGATCCCGCGGCAACAGCCCAGCGGATCATACTACTTCCAGGGGAAGTAGTCCAGGAAAGAGCAGTTCCAGTGTCAGGGTAATCAACAAAGACAGTTTGTTGCAGTCTCGTGGAAGCGAGTAAGTTTTATATTATCTGATAGAATGAAAATTCGTTGTTTCACGCCGTTTTAAAATTCCCATCAGTTGAAAATGATTTCTCATATACATAGAGAAACGACGATTTTTATTCCAGTCGACTTTAATTGATCGCCTCGTGAATAGTTTATCATCCCTAATGCACATTAAGATCCGATCGTTTCAAATCAACCCGCCCCCACTTAGAAGAATTTGTGCTTCTTTTCATTAATCACAATTATAGTGAAAACAAAAAATTTAGATTCTCACTTGTATTACAAAAGTACTTTTGTTCATACAATTTATCGACTCGCATCGTTTTTATGATGACTAGCACGATTAATGAGAGGATGTTCGCGTCGTATGAATTTAGAGAGGAAGAAGAGTCTAATTGTAAGCGTACCGTCGTAAAAGATAAAAAATGAACTTGCATATTTTTAACATGAAACAACTCGACGATATTGTCTTGACTTCCATCAGCAATTTGCGTAAGGGAACATTGTAAGCAAACGTTTACGTAGAAATTATCGATTATCTGCTGGAAATGAAACGTACCGGACGGTCGATGCTGCCAGCTATTAACTACAGTTTCCTTTACATTTTTCTGCAAGCGCTGCATTCCTACGCATCACTATTGTTCAACAATGACGTCTCTTTTATCGACCAATTTATGAATAATTCATAGGCTGTATGCGCATAACTGTATTTTCCTTATTAAGCAAAAATATGTTGCATCAAAGCTCAAATACTGTAATATTATGGCAAGAGTTATAAAAATGGCCAGAAAGTGTTTAATCCAGTCTAATCTCAACGATAACTTGAAACTCTTTTAATTTTCCATTTACGTGTATTAAAAAAAAATTGAGACACAAAACACAAACGTGGAGAACAATAAAAGAGCATGAGTCACTTTCATTGTTAACTAGGGAATTATTTGCATTGCATATCTGTTGCAATAAAGGGAAAACGTGGAGTAGTATTGACTGATGGAAAACTACCGGAAAAATATTATCGTGTCATCGGGAAATCCGATAGAAAACTACTGACTTTTGGAATAATACATATAAATGTAATTACGAAAGATTAATGAATTTCCAAAAAAAGAGCATTGACAAATGATTGACATTAATACACATTCCCTCGACTTGAGGGTCAGGCCACAGGTAATCAAAAAGACCGAGCTTTCAGTCGTTCGTTCTAATCCTGAAAAGGATTGTCGCATGTTTCGCTAAACTCACTCAAATCGGTTCGTGTAATGTATCTTATGTAGTTTGCATGTACAACTATATTGATAGACACGTACGTCGTAGTTGCGACACTTTTCGATGCCGTATATTGATTGCGGTGGCTCGCGGTGTCTCTTTCTGCTGGTCAATATCGCAGCGATCGCCGACAATGGTCACCCCTAGAAAAAGACCATCGGGCACGTGAAACGAATTGGTATTTTGTCTGCGAAAATCACCCCTCAATTTTATGATTAAGTAGAAGATAAATAAACAGACTAAAAGCTATAATGGTGTAAGTCACTTTTCGGCCAAGCTGTGACTTGGTTTGCTTTTATGGACGATACGAATGATAATACGTTTAAAGACGTGACGTAAGTCCTAACTTTGCCACTTTACAAACTGAGAGCAACATAATGCAAGTACCATTAATGCCAAGAACAGCTGTACCATTTCCCGTACTTTTCAATCCTGAAAAGTGACTTACACCACTCTAACTTTCACCCCTTTAACTGAACGCCGAAGTTGCAAAATCTATAAATAAACAAATATTAAATATACAGTACACAAAAATAAAGTATATTTATACAAAATTATATATAACGAATTTGTCATACAATTTTGCATAAATGTATAGATTAGAATAAATCCTGAAATTCGATATTCCTAATCGCATAGCACGTTCTTGTTCCAAGTATAAAAACGTGAAAAATAATTTTTGTATAGCCAATACATCCTTAAGCTACGAACTGCGTTTCGTAATACTGTTCAGATTATGTCATACGATGCTACATAGCAAAGGGATTAAATTGCGTTCTTGCCACGTATTCCTACCCCAAGTGCATTAACCGCTACTGACCCTTCCTAATAACCAGGAAAATGTGAAAAGTTTATGGATATATCTACGTGTATTGATTCAACGTGAACAATTTCACAAATCTAGCAGCTTCTACACAATTTAGTCTTCCACGGTCATCACTAGGCATTAGGCATTTGTAGAAGAATTGTATTTCTAGAAAATATGAAAAATCTGTAGAAGGAGTATATATATTGTGCATACAAATCTAATGATCAATTCTGTTCCTTCTTACATTTACAATTGAAATTATTTATACGTCTGGTATGATTAAACGAATTTCTCTCTAAATGCATGTGAGAACTAACGTATTCCTAATTAACAATGGAAAGTATTCATCAATCAAGGCTGTCCAATCGAGGCTTCGTGAATCATTGAACTTGCCACTAATTTTCCATAGCGGATAGAGAAGGAAAAACGAGATCATAAACGAGCCGGGTCAATCACGCGATTTTTCCTCGACAGTTTCGGTTAGCCCGATTGATTGAATCCCGTCAATTATTTAGCTACCGTGATAGGAGATCAATCACGAACCTAACTGAGGGATTATTCCCGTTAAAACGTTCGATCATGATAGACCATGCAACGATTCTACAGTAAACTCTTAGTCTTCTAAACATCGTCAAAGAATTTTCAAATTCTTTTAAACTGAACTCGAATAAAGCTCTGAAAGTAAAATGTAATACACTTTAAACGATGCATACTTCATGAAATGTTTAACAATTTCTATCATTTTTTACGGTGTGCATTTTGATAAATGCGTAACAACTTTTCTAATTATGTCGGTCCGATTTCAGGACGGGCAGCATCGAAAGGCTGGTAGATGGTGACAAGAGAGTGATTGCCACTAAGCATTTGCTTCCAGAGAATAACATAAATGTCGTTGTTAGGTGATTAGAATATTGTTCGATATTCTCAATAGACTCGCATCGTTTTATCGCAACCATTATGGCACCATTTTATCATTCTAGAGTTCGTCCACTTAGCAGTAAAGAAATCAAAACCGGCGACAGCATGGCTGTACAATTTCCTGGAGACGGTCAGATATACGTAAGTTCACCATTTAGCAATCAGATTAACATTTATTTATTTTATTTAAAGGAATTTCTATGTCAATATTTCCAGTTTACATATTTTGCATATTCTTTAAAAGACATTTAAAATATGAGAACTATTAGAGTTTAAATCATTAGAGAAGAAAATTAAGAGTGTAAAGAATTAATGATCGCTTAATCGTTGTTCTTCCACTGACAGTGCGAAGGGTCTCCGAACAGCGGTGACAAGAAGGGCAAATTATTTTCTTACAATGTAGTGTTCGAGCCCACGGCCACTCAGGAGGACATTCTGCAGTTCTGCGGGGTGAAGAAACTGATAGAAATGGCAGTGGAGGGATTCAGCTGCACCGCGTTTTGTTACGGGCAAACTGGTAGTGGGAAAACTCACACCCTCACGGGACCTCCGGAAATGGTTAGCGATTTACTAGCAATTTCACAGTTCTAATCTTTGCCAAGGGACAGTACTTGACTGAACAGTCGTATATGTATATTATAAAACAGTTAGGCAAGTTGAAGGCCGCGTATGAACGTAGCAGAAAGGTTTTTGCTGATCGACGTGCGTAGATAAGATAATGATAGAATAGATAGACAATGTCTGTCTTGTTTGTTGATTGCATAATATTCCACGCGACCACGAAAGACAATTAGGAAGGATATTCGTTAACCTTCCGCTTTCCTGCAAGCTCATTCTAATAAATAACGATTGTTTCCGTTAAACAGTTTGACAGGATGAATCCTTATTCGGAGGAACAAGGCCTGGTCTTCCGGTCCTTTGTCTACCTATTTAAATTATTGCAAGAACGGCAAGGGTGCAATTTTGTGTTGAAAGCCTCGTTCCTGGAGATTTACAATGAGAAGGTCCGTTTAATATCAACGCGAAATTTTTTGACGAGGTTTAGAACATCACTTTCGAACTATGTCCTATAGGTAATAGATCTGTTGAATCCTGGAACCTCCAGGAAACCTTTGATGGTACGGTGGAGCAAGAAGACGCGAGGTTTCTTTGTAGAGAATCTTTTTACGGTTGAATGCGAGGAACTAGACGACCTCCTAGCTGTTCTCGAAGAAGGTGGTCCTTTACCTTTCATACCCCAAACAGGATTGCAGATAAATAATTGAGTCTTTAATTCAGTTGAACACCAAT